ACCAGCATCAGCGAAAAGGAATGCTGCAACAAACAGTATGATGTGCACGAAATAAATCTTCAGGAATTCATCTCATTGCAAGCATTTTTTGTACTGGTAACGAGCAGTTTCGCTGTTATACCTGCGGAGTTTTTGTCTGTATTGATGACCCAATCAGCGCTCGATGCCAACAAACCATGTTGAAGGAACACCACGGGTCGTTTACCGTACGGTTCGCTACCTGTTTCTTTAACAAATACATTTTACTTATCAATATCTATATATTACGTCAAATGAATGCAGATAAAGATAACTTAGCAGGAAAAATTGCTATGATAGAAACAATTTAATGGTGCTCATCATCGTGATGTAGTGGTCATACTTCAGTGGTCTTTCATTCATTTTCATATTCATCCTGATAATTCTCAGCAATATAAGTCCACATAACTTACAATACTGCTCATTTCAGTCAAGAAGAAATTAATGATGATTATGGCATATATACTCATCGTAATATCGTGAAGAATGCAATGCATTCATAATTCCCATGACAATAAAGCATCAGAATTTGTATAATGTCAAGCATAACCAACCGTTTTTGCCATGCGGAATGCGATGCATTTGCAGGAAGTATCCATCATCTGTTTTAACATCGACTAATTCGGCTGGGTAACCGTAATATGCTATTATTTCCATCTGAAATAATTTCAAATGAGTTTGAAATTATTGACGGAATGATCGAATTTGGAATTTCAGTCAACAAATCAATACTGACGGAATCAGTAATATGTATTTACATGGAAACAAACATAGGATTATTCGGTAGCTATTTATGCATTTATGCACGTCAGCGATTGAAAAAAAAAAAGAATAACTTACAACATTCATATGGACTTCCGGTGGTTCAGTCGCATACAAAACTGAGACTGTCATCAGAACCGCAAATGGTTTTGTGATACGCATCTGAAACGATGTTCACCTCAGAAAGAACGACAATAAATTTTAGAAGCAAATTTGCAACCCGACGACAACTAACGAATACATTAAAGCCGACAAAATATGACGAAAAGTTGGCTAAAACAATGCTTTTTGAATTTTGAACAGGCGATGATCAAACGAAATGATGAATTCACTGGAAGTTTGTTGAGGAAAACCCCAAAGTGAATGTGTGTTAAGAACGGGGAACGATAACACATTCCAATGTTCACGAATCACAGCTGATGACTCATATGAAGTGTGAAGCAGCAGCTGACCGAGATGATGGATCTATGAATCATAGCGACTTTCAGTGATCAGCGGTTACAGCAAGAGCAGATAACAATGTGGTGGTGGCAAGACATCAGATGTATGGGATCAATTGAGTGAATATAAAGAATGCTCATAACACAAAGTTTCATTTACCCTGAAGATATGAGGATATACGTCAGCGAATTGTTTCGCATACACCAAAAAAAACTGCAATAAAATCAATGGAATCTCTTGAAGTGATAAACATAATCTTCAATATGATATGAACGAGGGAAGATCCATAGGGATTAATCACATCTGCAAATGTTAGAACGGGAACATTGCAGTAGCATTTGCTGTCATTATGAGCTGCACATTTTATTGATTTGACCGATGTACGATAAAACAAAGTCCATCCACATTCTTTAGTCATCAACGAAATGATTTTCGTCGGAAAGAAAAGATAAGCCAATGTTCTCGAATAGGTCAACTGATAAGCGTCAAGATGATTACATCACCGTATGGCAAAAATAGTCTAATCGTAAACCCAAACATGCCCTGATAAGTGCTTATAATCGGCATACTACAGCAATGAATGTTCTGTGCACACTCGAGGTCATAACATAGAAACGAATCTGTCATGAGGCTACGAGCTAGTTGAATACTTTGAGTAAGTCATATCAAATTATTGTGTTCCTTGAATGATCTAACGGCCCGGGCAAGTTAAAAATCTTATATATTGTATGGTAAGATAGGCTCTTGAGAGTATAAATATTCCGTGATATGTTGCATTTGAACTCGTTAAAATGAAATCTAAAGATTTTATTGAGATTTTGATCTTTTTTCCCAATTCAGCTGAAGGATTTCCTCGGATTTAGAAAAAAATGGCACTTATTCTAGATGTGCAACCATCGAAGTGATTCACAAACCAAGCGAATGCTCTTAAATAATCATTCGAAAGAGAAATTTGCATTCCACACACACACTTCCTGGTCAGTTGAAGCGGTCGGTATTGCACATGACAAACTTCATCGCTGCAGAATTCTTCCTATGTATTCCACAATTATTCAGAATGGTTGCTGCAGTGTGATCTATCTGCGCAAAAACTGACTGCTGACTTGTTTGAAACTAGCGATGACGAGTTGGCCCACTGCAAAATGTACCAAATTTGGTAATTTTGCTTGTATGCTCTAGGTTGTAGGCTCTAAAGGTTCATGTTCCTCTGAATCGTTGTTTCAGTTCATCTCTCATCAGGCTACTTATCTATGAATACGAATGTCACAAACCGAGAAAATTTATGATGTTCACAAAATTTTATGTGTCACTCTTCGATATCCTTGACGAGTTATCGTGAAAGAGTGAGCAATGAGGACAATTCTCATGAATTTGCTGAACACTTCACCTACACATAGGAACACACAACATAAGTTATGTGCATATAATTGACATATTCTCTTAATTTTGTCACATTAATCATACACATTCGTGCATCGCAAAACAAATTTGATGTGTTTCTCGCAGAAAGAGCCAAAGTTGCTTTTTTTGCTGAACCGAATGCTGATCACATTGGTTCAGTCGATTAATTTCAGCTGACTTCGTCAGCTTTCAATAGTAGACATA